AGTGCAACAGCCGATGCTATGCCGGTCCCAAGCCAGGAGCCTCTTCCAGGTCTCCCACGCGGGTGCAGGGTCCCAAAGCTTTGGGCCGTCCTCGACTGCTTTCCTGGGCCACAGGCAGGGAGCTGAATGGAAAGTGGAGTGGCCAGGACTAGAACCGGCGCCCATATGGGATCCCGGGTTGCTTAACCACTGCGCCACTGCGCCGGGCCCCATTTTGTTTTTTTAATAGCTGAGTACTATTCCATGGGATAGATGTACCATAGCTTTCTTATCCAGTCTTCTGTTGATGGGCATTTCGGTTGCTTTCAAGTTTTTGCAATTATTGATTGTGCTGCTGTGAACATAGGGATGCATATTGGTTTCTTGTGTAACAGGTGTTTTGGATATATTCCTAGGAGTGCTATTGCTGGATCATATGGTATGCAGATTTTCAGTTGTTTGAGTGTTCTCCAGACTGATTTCCGTGGAGGCTGTACCAACCTGCAGCCCACCAGCAGTGGAGTAGGATTCCCTGTTCCCCGCATCCTCGCCAGCAAGTGTTGTTGGTGGTTTTTTTGTATGTGAACCATTCTTTCTGGCGTTAGGTGGTACCTCATTGTTGTCTTAATTTGGATTTCCCTGATTGCCAGGAAACTTGTACATTTTTTCATATGTTTATTTGCCACTTAGGTTTGTTCCTTTGTGAAATGTTTGCCCATTTCTTGAGTGGCTTTTTTTGTTTTGGTGTTGTGGAGTTCTCTGTATATTCTGGAGATTAGCCCCCTATCACCTATGTAGTGTGCAAAGATCTCCCATTCTGTGGGTTTTTTTACTTTGTCGATTGTTTCCCTTGCTGTACAGAAGCTTCTTAGTTTGATGAAGTCCCATTTGCTTATTTTGGTCTTGATTGCTATTGCATTTGATGTCCTTTGCAGGAGGTCAGGGCCTACACCTAAATCTTGCAGGATGTTTACAACATTTTCTTCCAAAAGTTCAAACTGGTTTCTGAATGTAAGTTTAGGTCTTTTATCCATTTAGATTTGATCTCAGTGTATGGTGATAGATGTGGGTCTGTCTTTTTTTTTCTGCAGGCTATTAACCAGTTGTCCCAACAGCATTTGTTGAAGAAACCTTCCCATTTGCTTGGATTGTCGTCTTTTTGTCAGTGATTATTTGGCTGTATCTGTGTGGGTTCCCTTCTGTTGTTTCTATTCTGCTCCACTGATCCTCCTCTCTATCTTTGTGCCAGTATCAGGCTGGTTTTGATAACCACCACTCTGCAGTATAGGACTGGCATTTTCTTAACTGTATCCATGCCCTGGAATGGAGTGATATGTCCTTGGGTATTTGTGGTATACATGATATTTTTATAGTCTTTGAAGATTTTTTAAAATTATAATTCATGTGTTCACTGTAAATTAATGCCTGAACAGTTGTTCTCACGGCTGGATAGATGTTCCATTGGCTACTCCTTTCCTGCTGTTGCTTCTGATTTTCCTCACCTTTTTGTGGGGTTGATGGAGCTCTTAGACCTTGGATCTCATTTTCTTTTTCAGGTTCATTTTCATTTTCTTTAAAAGGCTGCAGAGGAGGGAGGAGAACTTCCATTCCCTCCCCAGATGTCCACAGCAGCCACATGTGGACTGCATCTGGGTCTCCTGCACAGGTGGCAGGGGAGTGACCACAGGTAGACTCGAGGGAAGGAAGCTGCATGTTTGTGAAATGGCAGTGGCACCTGCTCTTGGCAAGTTCAGTTTGTTTGAAGCAGAATTTTTATGACATTTTCAGATAACTTAGTGCCACCCCGCACGATGCATATCAGCAAGAGCTGGGTTGGGAGCAGAACATCCAGGAAGCAGACAAGGCACTCTGACACAGGCCATGGGCACCTCAAGCCACATGCCCACACCTGCGTGTGTTACTTAGGTGATGGCAAACACTGATGAGTCTGTACCTCCAGTTGGGACCTATGCTAAACTTGAGGTTTTGTGAACGGTGTCTTTTTTCCATTGTAATAGGCAACTTCAGTATGACACGTCTGACTCTCAACTCTGACGTAGTCTTCAGAACCACTGGAGAGTGGTTTCGGGCAGGCAGGCATTGAGTTTAATAGGTAAGACACCCACACAGCAGTACCTGGGTCGGATTCCTGGCCCTGGTCCTGCGGAAAGCAGCTCATGATGGCTCAAGTGACTGGGTTCCTGCCAGCCATGTAGGAAACCTAGATTGAGTTCCTGGCTCCAGCTCAGGCAGGGAGGAATGAACCAGCAGGTAAGCGCTGTCCATCCTGTCTCTCAAGTGAAACTTGACAGAAATGAATCACAAACTTCCTGCAGTTACCCCTCCCCCCCGCCCAGCCCACCTGTTAGTGGCACCTACATGTTCTGTTGAAAGCAAAAATCTCAAGTCACACTGGATTTTTTTCTCACTCCATATATATATTTTTAAATTTATTTTAAAGGCAGGCAGTGTTACATAGATAGAAGAGAGGGAGAGATAGAGTTTCCATCCGTTGGTTTACCCCCCAGATGGCATCAGTGGCCAAGCCTGGGCCAGGCTGAAGCCAGGAGCTTCTTGCAGGTCTCTTGTGGATGCAGGGTCCGAGGTAGCAGAGCCGTTTCCACTGCTTTCCCAGATCATAAGCAGAGAGCTGGATTTAGCACCTGGGACTCGAATTGGTACCCATGAGATGCTTGTGCTGCATATGGCAGTTTAAACCGTTGTGCTATAATACCCATATATGCCAGCCTTTGTTTCTGGGCTGTCTAGTCCATTAGCCCATGTCTGTCTGCAGGCCAGTGCCCTGCTGTTCATGGCTGTGGCTCTGGAATCTGTAAAACCCGCCACAGCATTTGTTTACAAGGCTTTCCTGACTACCTGGGAGCCCTGAGAGTCCTTGTGAATTGTAAGGTGGGTGTTTGTTTCAGCACAAGCATGGCTGGGGTTTTGAATCTGCATTGTTCTGTCATCTACAATAGTTTGTCTGTCCATGTTTTTATACCATCTAGTGTCAAATTTCAGCAAATTTTGTAGTGTTCAATATGCAAGACTTTCGCTGCCTTAGTTAAGTTTAAGGGCTTTCCTAGGCTATTAGCAGGGAGCTGACTCCAAAGTGGAGGAGCTGGGACGGCCAAGTCCCTGTGGGATGTTGGTGCTGCAGGTGCGAACCTCAGCCTTCTGCTTTCATCAGCAGTGTGTCCTCAGGTTAGCCAGCAGGGAGACTGTAAAAGCCAGCGGTCTTAAAATGGCCACAGGCATCACAAGATGTGGCCCCTGTTTCTTTTCTGGCGTCACCTGCTGCTTCTGAGGGGCACACCAGCCATTCCTTAAACAACATGCATGTCACTGCCCGTGGATCTTCCAGCTGCTATTTTGTACCCACCAAATTTCAGTCTGCAGTTCAGGTTTGTACTCTCCTCTCCCTCTTTCCAGTCCACAGTACCACTGGGCCTATTCATGGGGACTTCAGAAACTTCTTGCAGGATGCATAGATGTCAAGCTTCCTGCACCAAAATTTAATTACATTTGCCTAGAACTTTCTGAAGTATCATGTTTGTGTCGCTCTCTTCTCGGAGATTTTGTTATGGCTGTCTCCCTGAAATGAAGAATGCCGTCTGCCCCATAGGTGGTTTGTGAGTAGAGAATTTACTTTATTGCAGCATGAAACATTTTAATTGTTTTCCAGGTTCATCTCTAATAAGTACCTAGTGAAACGACACAGCAGAGAGTATGATGTGGAGTGGGGCTACGCCTTTGATGTGCACCTGAATGCTTTTTATCCCCTCTTAGTCATTCTGCATTTCATCCAGCTTTTTTTCATCAACCGTAAGTAGCAGTGACTTTTCAGAGTATCTCCAATGCCTTCATAATGTGTCATGGTAAAGACTGACTGTATTCCTCTCTTCTGGCAGATGTCATCCTAACAGACACATTTATTGGATATTTAGTTGGAAATACCTTATGGTTGATTGCAGTTGGCTATTATATCTATGTAACCTTCCTAGGTTACAGTGGTAAGTAACTTTAAAGTTAGTTTTGGTTATTGACAACATGGGAGGAGGCAGTTGTAACGTGACACTCTTAGCCTCACTGATGGAACACTTATATGCACTGTCCCAAGGGTACTTAAACTTGTGGTAAATGGAAATAAAAGATGTTTTGGTACAGTTTCTTTCATGAACTTTTTGAAGACCTCCTGTAACAGCATCCTCTTTACCTTAAGGCTTTGGAGGTTTAAACTCACCAGTTTTCATTAGCATTTCTGGTGTTTGTCCTTCACTTCCCCCTTAGCCTGTGGGCTTAAACAGCTAAATGAAAAGGAAGCAACAAATAGTCCTATAGCTCTGGCTGTAAATGACATTATCTTTTTGGAAGTAACATCTTATTCCCACATTCTGGATGTTTCTTTTGCAGCACTACCATTTTTGAAGAGTACAGTCGTTCTTCTCTACCCATTTGCACCTCTCATTCTGCTCTATGCGCTGTCCCTGGCACTGGGCTGGAACTTCACACACACACTCTGTTCTTTCTACAAGTACAGGGTGAAATGACTGGCAGCAGTGTTGGCGTAGTGACGACTTCTTGTAAAATCTGTAAATAAATCATCTTTGTAGATAACTGATGTAAAGTTTACGAAATTAAAGTATATTAACACTTGTTGAGTACATTCCTTAAAACTAATTAAGTGTACACTTCTGTAATAAATTTTAAAAAAGCAATACGTTATTCAGTTTGCTCATTCATAAATATAAAAGATGTGAAATTTTTAATAAATTATTTTTTGAGAACATGATTATGTATCTTTTTTGCCTCTAGTCTACCCCATTTTTGATGAGCTCTACCATAAACATTTATGTAGATCACATGATCCCAGTCTAAAAGCGAACACTCCCGACAAAGGCCTTGTGACCACTCTTATTTTGGGAACTAGAGCGTGCACAATGAACATCAATGAAATACTGATGATCAGGGCTGAAAAAAAATTGGGTAAGATGGTGACTAAGTTTAAAAAAATCAACTCATTTCAGTTCACCTGTTTTTATTAGAAGAAATCTCAGCATGACTTTTTAAGCTTATTTCAAATACAGATGAATGGTTGTGGCACAGAGAAAACAGTGATGAAAGGCACAGTCAACAGGACCAGTTATTTAGGTTTTCAATTATAGCAGCAAACTTCAAAATAAATAATCTTCCTTTAAAAATCCAACAGGTACCTAATAAAATATTACTACAAAGATTAGCCATTCAACCAGTGAAGATCTTTCAAGGGAAATATGTACAATATACTTAAGGAAAAAACAGCTAGTACATCTTGGCCAAGAGATTCCTCAGGCAGCTTCTGAAGCAGTGCTTCCAGAAACATCCTCGAATGTAATGACAGCCTAAGGGAAGTGTTTTGAATGAGTCACACCTTTTTAATTCCACAAATAAAAACATTAAACCGAGCTGATTTCTAAATCTTCCTCAAAAATTCTATCTACACTGGAATGAAAAGTAACAAATCTGCTGGCAGTGCATCTTACAGTACTGTCGGTATCAACCATATTTAAGGCTCAGAGAATTATGTCTTCAAAAGGTATTTTCACCAAATTTGAGCAAACAGCATTTCAAATAAATAATGGAATGCCAATCAAGCTATAAATACCAAACCTTTAATCCAAGACAACTTGAGTATTAGCACAAAACAACTAGGAAGCAAGTGACATAAAACACTCTCCCTAACATTCATGGATAGTAAAAGATTCTCATGTTAGAACAGTTGTAGCACCACTGGGTTTTTGCACTGCACTTACTTTCACAGCTCAGCTCACTGTGGCCTGCTAGTCCTTCTTCCTGCTTGTCCCTTCCACAGTGTTCCAGTTACATGCCCAAACTGGTGAAATGAGTGTTCTGGATAACAGAGGCGCTCCATGTACCTGCTGCTATGGATTCATTTAGCAAAATCCTCCATTTGGTTGCTTTTTTTAAAAAAAAATACTGTGGTATTAGACTTTTTTGCAATGTGCACATGGATCTATGAAACAGCAGTCACAGCATTGAACTGTTAAGATTAAAATGTCACAATTAACCAAATTTTCCACTAAATTTTATTACATAATCAACTCCAATCTCTGTTAAAAAAAAAAAACTGTTCCAAACTAAGTTCCCTTAACATATGATTGAGATTTCTGATCTTTGACAGTATTTAGCTTAATTTCCTTTCCTCTAGTGTATCTCATGTCAAGACTGACAGTAAATAATAACCAAAATACTAGTGAGTAAGCCAATATTAACCTCATTGACAGTTAATGGTTTGAAAACAGGTATTTTGGAAAATATTTGCAAAGTACAACACTCATTTGGCACATGCAGGATTTGATCTGTGCTAGATAAGCTAAATTTTGATTTAAAAAATTATAAGACCTTCATCCAGATTAGAATATCTGGTCTCTGCATTAGGACCGAAGTTATTTTTTCTCAGAATTTCACTGGCATTCTTTAGTACACTTCTCATAGTCAAAGCAGTGTTGATCACTATCAAGTAATATCACTAATTATATATTACTTCCGGTTCTTTTTCTGCAATCCCATTTTAGTAGTTTATAAAACACCACTAAAATACTACGGCTTTTTGTCAGCACACTTCTAGTGAAGACTATTTGAGTTCTCTGGCAGAAAGCATCCAAGATGATGCTTCAGTATGTGGTAGCAAAGACTATTCATGAATTCATCACAAAATACCCTACAGGAATATCTTTAGGAACTCAAGAATGAAGATTCTGCCTCTTTTGCACAATGCATTTGTTTTCTGTAACAGATTAGGACAGAGCAGCTTAAAACAACATTTACTAGCTCACAGTTCTGTGAGATCAGAAACCCAAGCGAGCGTACTGTACCTGGGTCCTCCACTCAAGCAGGATTTCATGAAGCCAGGATCAAGGTGTTTGCCAGGCTGGGTGTTTCATCTGCAGGTGACTCGACTGCCAAGCTCACTGTGACTGTTCCTATCTCCTTGACCGTCAGCCCATGCCTCAGCTCCTTAAGGCCTTCCCATCCGCCCCATGTGGCCCCTTTGACCCAAAAGCAGCAACAGTGCTTGAGCCAGCCTGAGAAAATCCTGTTTCTGAAGAGCTGAAGATCTGATTAAACAGCCCTAAATAATCTCCCCTTTGCTATGCAATTGGATATCAGCTTGGGTCACATTCACGGGTTCTCACACTGAGGGGATATTTCTATAACTGCCTACACTATTAATTAGAAGAATCTGCAAACCCAAATATAACCCAGCTTTTTCTGAGGGGCAGCACTGGTGGAAGACATTTTTTCATTCTCACAATAGATTTTTTAGAAGCTTTCAGAATCTTGCTGATGATTTTGAAAATAACCATATCATATAATTATTTACCAGTGCATCCACTACTTTGAAAAGCTATGCGGTACCTTTGTTCAAATAATCTTCAGTGGTTGACCATACAGCATTTTAGTATACATTTTAGCTGAAATAGTCCATTTGCATTAGTTTTTTCAAAGCTTTTCAGTTATACTATCTTTTGACTACCATGTATAATGCATGCAGTGGAAAATGCATGAGATGACAGCAAAAAACTTAGAAATCCTACATCCTAAACTTTCTCAACAAACACCAACAGTACACAGGATATATCCATGTATGTGCTTTAACCTCACTATCAAAATTTCCCAATTCTGACTTCTAAGATGTCTACCCTAGCACTCTGGGCACAGTCCTCTCCAACAGCACTTTCTGCAGTGAGGGATACCTGTGGTATCCAGTGTGCTGGCCACTGACCCCCTGTGTCAATGAGCACTTAAAATATAATTAATGTGACTGTAGAACTGAATTTTATCAAGCAGCCACCATGTCATGGCTCAGCCCACCCAGCATGGAAGTCTGAACAGTGTATGTGAGTTACTGTCAGATCCCAAGCTATGCTATATATATATTCTATTGTTTGACACTTTCCTCATTTGCAGTTTTGGTAACAGTAGTTCTACGTTGGCAGAGGTCAAGAATTTAACTTTTGAGTTCCAAGTACTCTTAATATCCAGTCTTGTGCCCTAACACTAATGTACTATCACAGATGCTTGTTATTGTCTAGTGTAGAGTTGGGCAATGAGGAGGCCACTGCCAATTAAGTCTGAGCACTTGCTGCAGTAGAAGCAGGCAGAAGTATGAATTACAGCCTCACCTCTAGAGCTTGAAGTTTGGGAGAAGAGAACACATCCCACAGATGCACCCATGACGAAACAACTAAACCAATGAGTACACCTGTACTGTGTGTGGCAAGGATAGGAGGGAAAGGGAGCTGAGAGACAAACAGGATAGGCAGACCAGTTGCTCACTGGACACCTGCCATGTGCCAGACACATCCCAGGTCTAGAAACAGCCAGTTGGAGGAAGGCAAAGGTGGATGGAAAGGACGTGACTAAAAAGGGTCTTTAGGAACAGGCTGCAGAGGGTGGGGGTGCAAGTAAACCTGGGAGGGGAGAGAGCCATGAGGACAGCTGGCTAGGCAGACTGCTTAAAGTAGCTGCAACAAATGGTATCAGGAGTCCTAGCATCTCTTCACTACATCTTCAGAGCATGACCTTTCTTCCTGAAATCAGAATTGGCTATTGAGACAACCAAACAATTCCAAAACCCCAGTAATTTAGTATGCTAAGCTGGTGCCGATATGGTCTTATATACAGCAGATATTCTGCTTGCCAGTGAAGTTTGTCTGTAGTCACTGGGCCAAGGAAATCTGACAAGAAAATCTGAACTTAAATAAAAGGCCTAAAAAAATGCCAGTTAAAAACTTCAGCCGGATATTAACTGACACAAAAATCACTACAAGCATCAAAAGTAATCCAAAATCAGAATTATAGAATAGTGGCAATAACTGCACTTTACCGATTTTTTACTTCATAACAACACATTGAAAGTGACAGTGTGTGAGTCTGCCCAGCACACTGGGCAACCAGCTGACGCCGAGCCCACAAAGCCCTCCACCAGGAGCTCCTCTGAGAACTCAGCAGGTCCATCTCTGCCCATCTGTAACATCCCTGCGACTGGGTAGTCCAAGGAGAATGGGAACTCACGTTCATCATTCATACTGTTCTCTTGTACTTTAGAAAAGATCACTGATTGCTGGGACTGAGAATATTCTTCATTTACAGTAGTAATACTCGGAATTACGTGCTTAAAAGAAACAGGCTTTTTTTGGACATGGAATTTATATATAACAGAATAAATCATTTTGGGAAAACACAACTGTTACAATCAATACCTTTCACCAAAACACCAATGTTACAATCTTGTTGCTTTTTTTTAAACTAAGCCACTTAGGACCCTTGCAATAGCATTACCTAACACGTTTCATCACAACTGATGTGTACAGGTATAAAAATGATCAATAAGAAAAGAGATAATGCACCTGAATTCACAGATTAAAAACAGACTAGAAAGGACAAAAGACACTGTCATCTTACATATCAAGAAATGGAACAAGTATATGTAATTCAGTATGTTGAAAGTTATCACCCTGATTTTCTGTGACCATAAGCTATTATGGTTCAGGTGGTTTGGATGCGGAATATCCTCCAAAGGATCAAATAGTAAAGATTTGGTCCTCAAAGTCCTATGTTTATGGTGCTACGGGGTGGGAACTTCATCCAGTTATGCTGTCTCGAGAAGAGGCCTTTGGAAGGTGCTCAGATTGGACGGGGTTGTCAGGGTGAACCCCTGTGGTCACATTCCCACGGCTTTCTAAGAGGACTCACAGACACACATGCTCCCTCTCTCCAGGGGATGCCTTGGCCAGTAACATCACCACCAGAGACTGAACCAGTAGGCTCTTCCCAATCTTGGACTGTAAACCTGCAAAACTGTGAACCCAAATAAACATATCTCCTTCACAAATAGATTGTATCAAATTTCGGTATAATAATGAGAAGCTGACACACGTACCACACACAGTATGGTAACATAACCCTCAAGAAGGATGTTGGTTTTTAAAATCTTGATTTGTAGGAATGACAAATGCCTTTGAGAATAGTTTGTTCAGAATCATTGCAATTATAAAAGTACTTCATTTAAGAAATCCATCTATAATCAATCTGAAATGGCAGTGCATTTGAAAAATGGCATTGATTTGTAATGTTTGCATTTCCAAAGAAAACATAGAAAGAACTTAAAAAAGCAAGGTAACTGGTTTTCAAAAAAAGTATCAGTCCAAAAATTTACTGCACAAAAATATGTACTTCTAAGGTGTTTCTAATAAATTAATTCCAGAACTTTTTATGTATATTTATATATTTATATATAATCCCTGATAATCTATAAAAGAGGGCCTATAATATTAAAATAAATGAAATTCAAAAGTACCCCCTTCATAAAATGTATTTAACATTAGTTTTTCTCAAATTTAAGGAATGTAACAATATGTACAACTCTTATGTATTAGTATAATACCAAAATAGTACAAGTCATATTAACAGGCTGTCATAATTGTAAAATGTTTGAGATAGTTAAAATCAGAGGACAGCATGGTTTCAGTTGTGTACAATTATCCATGGGAGATTCACTTTCCAAGTGGAAATGACAACCATATCTACAGTAGATCTCACAAGAGGTAGTGTTCAAGTTTAAAAAAAAAAAAGGTACATGCTTAACTGTCTTTAACAGATTCACAGGAAAAACTGTTTTGGTTTCATTGATGATCAATTTGTGACTTTTTTAATATGAATCTGAAATACAAAATAATGAAAGGCATAAGACAATTTTCAATTCCAACATGGCCTTAGATACAAAATCATAATGTCATTTAAAAATGTAGAGCGTGGCTGTTTCCGAGATTTAATATATTCTTACCTCATTAAGAATGGCCCAGACTGCAGAATTTTGAATAACTGAAAGTCGAAAAGCTGAAATGGGATTTAGACTAGGATCCACCATTCCTTCTGCAATACCATTCTCAAATTTTCCTTCAAAATAAAACATCAATAATTACTGAACAGACTGACATAAATACAACATAAAATGTCACTTGCTTCACATGTAACAAGATCTTCTAGGAGATGTATGTAGACAAAGCATGAGTGATCTCCCTCTCTTCCCAGTTCCATTTTCTTCCAACTCCTAAATTTTGGTATGAAGCAGTACATGCTTAAAAACATTAAAATCCTTTTTAACCTGGCAGAACTACGCTTTTTCTCAGAATTAAAGGCAAATTTGCATATTTTAAATGAATTTTGACTTAACCAATCCTTACCAAGTTATAATATATAATCAAGACATTTGGCATTTTGAATCTTAAGTCAATAATAACCAATTTTAATGTGAATCAGACACATGCAGTGTTCGACTGAGTAGGGGCTCAATCCACACATACTTTCTCATCGGCATTTCTAGAAGGACTTAAGAGGTAATATCTCCTCTATAAACTTTTTCTACAAAGGAAAGTCTTTGTGAGACTAGAGGATACAAGATAAATAATTACATATAGAAAGAAAAAGCCAATTTCCCCAAATTTTTACTGATGGAAAGTTGATAAATAATAAATGAGTATTTGGTTTACAATAAGCTGAGAATAATTTGATTCCCTTTGTGGAGAAATATTTCACTTAACTTGGTTTCAAAGTTGGACTATTATCAAAAAATGATTGTAACTGTTTATCTGTTTAAAAAAGCATTGCATAAGATACCAAAAATATATAAACAAACCTCATAGCCCCATGGTGGAACAGACTGATCCATTCACCCATGGAAATCTATACAGGAGTGAAGTTGAGTGAGCCAGACACATCCACATGGATGAATCTCGTGGCAAAAGTACAAGACATTACAAATACTGTATTTTCTCTGAAATGTGCAATTATATAGAAACGCACAAAACAGTGTAAGAAATGACAGGGTCACTTTGGGGGACTGTCATTTTTATTCCATGTTTACACTCCAGTGGAAATGTGGTCCTGTGATCTCTCTAGTTTTTACTTCCTGAGCATTACGGTTAGTGGCAAATTAAGCCCATGAGTATAAAGTACAACAAAACTATAACTGAAAATGCTGCTGAGGAGAGGGTGTCGGGGGACCAGGAATGAGGAAAGAAGTGTGCCTGTCTTCTTGGAGCTGCCTATGGAACGTATACAATATATTTTCTTTATGGTACTAAACAAGTGAAAAAAACACTGTAAACCAGAGAAAGAGTTATGTCAACTAATTAATAAAGTAGGACTGTGTGCCAGGGTTATGACTATGTAGTACAAGCACACATGGAAATGGCAATCATACCGTTCAGGACAGTAGTTAGCGTTGGGTAGAGAATGAGAAGTTATTAGGGAATAACTGAATTGGCAAATTTTGACCTGTTCAGATACAGAGATATTCATGATGTTACTACCTTTATCTTTTTATCTATAATATTAAAACATTTTTATATATTCACATTCCATATGCACCCATGTATTTTGTGCAATGAAAAACAAGATGTAGAGCAGTTATCGTTTGTGTGTGACTTTGTTCTTTTTACAAGAATACCCTCACATGAGTTTGTGTGCAACAAATCATACTGAAAAAGCATGTCATTTCAGGAAGTGTCTCTAGGAAACAGTGGGTGGGAGAGCAGAGGAGGGAGGGGTTCAGTTTCCTCTGCTAGGAAACAACGGGAGGGGTGGAGTAGGGGGCTTAGTCTCCCCTCTAAGTTTGCAATCTGCTTCAAGTGCACATAGGATCTTTTCAAACAACAATTTTAGCCTTTGTTCTTAACCCAGTGGTGTAATGGGTAAGCGCTGCAAGATGGAGGGAGAGGTGGAGAGAGAAAATTCCTCATGAATGATTAGAATACCCTAATGGTGGCAGTGGAAGACAGTTCAAGAATCCCACAGAGTCTGGATTCCCTGACCAGTGGCTGTCTCCCTCATCCACTAATTCCCTGCAGAAAGCTCTTCTGAAATGGAACTCTGTCACAAGTCCATCCATAGCTGCCACCCCACACACCCCTAGCCTACTCCATACTTCATCTACTGATGACCAGCTGGCTGACTCTGTTTCTAGCAGTGCCCTTGGGCCCTCAGGAGGGCAGTATGGGTGTCTATTCAGGATTCACAGGAGCTATCCATGCTTCTTGTTAAACTTCTAGCTGGATTTAAGTTTAGTTTGTAGTCTGCTATCACCTCCTACTGGTTTACGGCTAAAACCTTGAACTTCGCCCAAGTTCTGTCTCAACAAGTTAGTTGCTTTAGGGAGAACTATAAAACTCAGTTCTGGCCTGCCTCTCCTTGACAAAGTAAAGATAGACAGACAGACAGACAAAATAAATGAAATCTGTTGCACTCTTCTCAAGGTTGTCAGCAGGAACAGTAGTCCCTCCTGCTGGAGTGACACAGTACCCTATGGGGCAGAGTGCCTGGCCCTCTGATTCTATTGGCTTGCAAGAAGCAGTGTACAGGAGGAAGTCAGCTGGGCAAAGGAGACTGGGACCAAGGCCTCTCTCCCCGCTGTGGCTGAGGTGAGCTTCTGCCCTGTAACTGGCATTTGGGTTGAGGGAGGGGGCCCCAGATACAGGAGATGCTCCTCCAGAACTCAGAGCGGGGGGCGATAACAGATGCTGTGGCCTGCCCGCGGTGCTGAGATAACACAACTGGCAGGAGAGCAGGTCTCACCTCCCGCAGAGCACAGAGCTTCTGTCCTGCTCAGTCAGGTGACATGGCTGACTCAGTGGTCATGGCTGAAGTGCCACAGACTCTCCATGTGCTTAGCGACAGGTAACAAATCTTCATGAATACATTTTCCTGCATTTGTTTTATGCCCTCAGGACAATATTCAGAGATTTAAAATACTTAGTTTTTTCACAAGTCAGCCAAGAAGAAAGTCAACAAAAGGCCCCGCACTCCCATCCTGTAACACATACTTCCTTTCAAGTGAAAACTTTTTATATGCTGGTGAGACGCCATTATTTTTTATGGGTGTTTTTTGTTACATGAAGTCCTAGGTTTGGCAACCCATAAGTTTTCTTCTAGAAGAAGATGTCTTGGGTGGTCATTATCTTCAAATAACTGCAGGATAATAAATGTCTTACATATCAAACTTATTTTTATGCATATTTCTAGAGATAGGCAATATGAAATACGAAAACAACTAAATTCACCTATTCTGCAAAACATAGAAATTAGGATTAACATGCAAATCTTTTAGTAACAGCTGAATGGCATCAAATAACAATGTATCATATTTATCAAACCTTTAAGCTTAAAATGCTCTAGTGATAACTATAGTAATGTGATGTGTAGATGTACAACATCAGTTACTAATTTTTTTGCCAACTAAGAAAAGGATTGATGTTTGAAGCTAAAGGGAAATGTCGCATCATTTGTTGAGTCAACATCTAGCAAAGAGACGGGTCTGTGTTCACTGTGAAGACACATGAGAGGAAACGGCCTTCCTCAGGACTGCACACACACGAGGCTGACAGGACACAGCCCCACAGTAAGCACAGAGGACAGGATAGCACAAGGATAGCGGCTCATTGGGTGAGAACAGTACAAGGAGCAGCATCAAACCATCTCTTTCAGCAGGGAAAATGGCTGGAGCCAGGCATTCACGACAGGAGTGACAGTACTTAGTGCAGAGTTCAGAGGAAAGTAGTCAGATAGAGGGGGGAGTCAGATCCTGGGAAGTCAGTAAAATCTTCAGCCAGGGTCAGTGCTGTCACACACCCATTCTACAAAAGTAACTGTAGTCAGCAAAACAAAAGAAACAGGAGATTATCATCTTTTCCGTGATGCTGAAATACAGGCAAGGGGTATTTAGCACAAGCACAGTTGAGGTGACTCCAAACTCTGAAATCAACAGATTTTATGCCCAAGGACAGTGAGAGAGACAGAGTTGTTCAGAGTGACTCCAGAGGTTAGGCTGGAGTGACTAGATGTTCAGGGACAGCAAAAATCATGGTGTTCAATAGAGAAATGTATGGGGCCCAGTGCAATAGTGTAGTGGTTAAGGTCCTCGCCTTGACCGACCCGGGATCCCATATGGGCGCCAGTTCTAATCCGGACAGCCCTGCTCCACTTCCAGCTCTCTGCTTGTGGTCTGGGAAAGCAGTAGAGGACGGGCCAAAGGATGGACCCTGCACCTGCGTGGGAGACCCAGAGGAAGCTCCTGGCTCCTGGCTTTGGATCAGCACAGCTCTGGCCGTTGTGGTCACTTGGGGAATGAATCACTGGACAGAAGATCTTTCCTCCTCTCTGCATATCTGACTTTCCAATAAGAAAAAAAAAAATCTTAAAAGAAATGTATGCTTGTTAAATGCTCCAAGTAGGGGCGGAGCAGCACTGGAGTTGAATGTTCAGAAGGGAGGCATGAGCAAGAAGCATAAAGACTGACAGATGGATGTTACTGAGCCCATGGTAGGACAGATGGACCGAGAAAGAGGAATCAGTAAATAAACTACGCTTACACCTTTGTTGGGTCAAGATAATTTTAAAAATTACTACGATACAAGAACAAATAAAACTTGGTGCACATTGCTATCTGGAATCTTCACGTTGCTTCATATCTGAAAATAACTTGAAACAACTTTAAGGTGTAAATCCAATGAAGGACCTTTTCTGAAACACACATTACCTATTCTGAAGTAGCCATCTTCTAATCGTTTGTCTTTGGTTTCTTTGCTCACTTCCAAACCATCACTCTAAAATAAAACAGAAGCAATCTTATAAATAGTTCTACTTAAAACAAACCTAATATCTGATAGTTGTGACAGCTATTTTTGACCTGTCATTCCAGACTTGAATCTGAAAAACAAACCAACCCCCTCTTTTTTGGATTGGGCTTCTGGCCTAGGGGTTAAGAAGGCTGCATTTCCTGTTGGGGTACCTGGGTTTGACTCCCAGCTCTATCTCCTGCCTGCCTGCCTGCCAATGCAGTCGCTGGGAGGCAATGGTGATGGCTTAAGGGACTGGCTCCTGTCACTCACGAAGGAGGCCTGGACTGTGTTCTTGGCTGCTGGCTTTGGATCCACCAGATGGGTACATTTGGGGAGTGAATCAGAGTATGGGAGCTTGCTTGCTCCTTTTCAAATTAAAACATTTTTAAAAAGGCTTTTCAAAAACTATTATTTGCATCTGTATAATATATACACTAACATAACATTTTGGTGATTGGGAAATGAAATATTAAGTCAACTTAGCAAAATATAAAACTACAGAAGAGCTTATATGTTCACTTGAAAAAAATCTAAGCATTTTGTAAGAGATCAATAAATTAATTTTGTGGCTTATAATCAAGAAATTTTACAACACTCTGTAATTTGGAGATCAGATTACAAACAGCAAGTAAATATTAGCCCAAAGCAATAATTCATTTGTTTCCCTAGTAAAAATAATGTAAAAATGTATATTTTTCAAGAAACATCTAAACAAAATGAAGGATCTTATGATGGTGGCAAATGGGACAATGTAACAGGTATTTCATATTTCAAAGACAATGAACAATACCCACCACTAAATCTAGCAAATATTGAGAGGTTTTTTCCACCTCATAAACAAGAACGCCTTAAACCAAGTCTACTGGCAATCAGTGCCCAGGGAAATGTAAGGAGAAAAAAATCACCAGACCTTTAAAGGCAAAACTTCCACTGTTGTATTTAGCAGAATATCTCCAGGATGCTCTTGGTTGCCGCTGTGGAACAAATAACTGAAAACACAAACAAAAACAAAGACACCAGGTTTTACAGAGACCCAGGAAATATCCTAAGGTAAGCTTCTCCAAATACGACCCCAATTACAAAAAGCTGATGTATGAATATATATGCTTAATAGCTGGAGGGAATGTGAAACATGATCAACAGGCAAATTTTCTGCTTAACTTAATAATGTACTTAACAGTTTACAATGCTCTAAAAAGACAAATCTCTTGCTGGGGAAAAATTAAAACCATGGCTGTTACATAATACTGCCATCTCTTGGATGAAGAGAAGGACACAACTAATGATGAGCTCTGTGGCTTGTTTAATCCAATCTAAATAATTCTTGAATGAGATAACAAAAATAAGTTAATACCTTCCAAGTATCTCAATAACTCCGTTTGTCAACATCAAACAGACATTTAAAGAATGACTAGGTATGTTCTATATCATAAGTCTAAAAATATCTGGATATGTGTATAATATTCTTAGGTTTTAATGTATGTATGGGCAAGGGTGGAAACTATAAAAGACATGTGAAGGGTGATCACATCTAAACCTAATTTTATATTATGTTAAATACAAGTTTGGGGTTAGGGGGGTCAGAAAGAGCTATGTCTAAATCTTAAGTCTCTCACTTGCTAAATGTTCACCTGTAGCTTGTTACATTAGCTTTCTGAGTCTGAGTCTCTTCTGTCAATGCAGATATTCCCACCAACCTAACATGAGTGGTTTGAGGAACTTATGAAAACTGACAAAAAGCACCTTGCATATTAAAAAAAAACAGTCATCCAAGTCACAGCTACCATGTGACGGTCATATAATATATGTAATATAGGTGTTAGTGGTCAAACAGCACATTGTGGTAAGGACCGGGATTTTCAAATGTTAAACACGACAGGGGAACCCTGATAAGAAGCTCTTCCTGAATTATACCAGCACTGTCTGGTGAGAGATAACTTCCATTTCCCTTTCATTTATATTTATCTGAAAGGCAGAGAGACAGAAAATAGAGACAGACAGACAGACAGACAGGCAGACACAGAGCTTCCATGCCCCAAATGCCCACAACAGCCAGGGCAAGGCCAGGCCCAGGCCATGACCAAACTAGAAGTCAGGCACTCCGTCTGGGTCTCCCATGAGCATGGCAGGAGCCCAAGTACTTGTGCCTCAACTGCTACTTCCCAGGCACATTAGCAGGAAGTTGGTTTTGGAATGCACCATAATCGCTTTTTGGCCTTTTGGCTAAGATCAAGTGAAATGTGCCATAGTCGGGACTTGAACCAGGCAATTCGACATAGGGGCCCCAAGCAATGGCTTAACCTATTGCATGCTAGATGCTTGCCCCAAGAGATTATTTATTTATTAGAGATTCCTTTATTTATTTTTATTTGAAAGGCAAAGTTATAAAGAAAGATATATACACATACAAAAATTCCCATCCACAAGTTCACCACCCAAATAACTGTTACAGCAGCGGCTGGGCCAGGCAGAAGGCAGGAACCTGGGATTATATCTGGGTCTCCCACATGCAAGCATGGATCCAGGCACATGAGCAGGGAGCTGGATTGCAAGCAGAGCAGTTGGGACCTGAACTGGTGCCCACATCGGATGTTGGCACTGTAGAAAGTAACTTCTTATGCCACAATGTCAGCAGTCCCCAGGCAATTGCTACAAAGGCACTCTCATCTTGGGATGCTGATTCATCTAACTATGGGCTACTACTATCTCAGTTAAAGATGTTAAAGTACAGAGCAAGGGAAGCCATTATGGGTATTATCTGGAATTTAGATAAACTGATCCAGAGATGTTCACCTCTTCATTATTTATAGTAAAAATTTGATATCACCCCCCAAAACTTAACATTTGATGAAGTAAATGATGAGCTGCTATACAGTCATTAAAATGTATGTGAATGGCTGGTGTTGTGGTACAGTGGGTTAAGCCTTTATGATGCCAACACATTTTCAGAGTGCTGGTTCAATCCAGCTCCCTATTAAATGCATGTGAAAAGGCAGAAGATGATCCAAGAACTCGGACCAGCCACTCATGTGGCAGTCAGGACGGGGTTGTTGGCTGCTGGCTTCAGCCCGGCCCAGTGCTGGTTCTTGTCGCCATTTGGGGAGTGACATTGCTGGTAGATGGACAATCTCTTACTCTCTGTTGCTCTTTCAGATAAATAAATCTTTTTAAAAATAAGTTTATGAATCACTTATGATAGAATTTGATAAAAATACCACATGTAAGATTACATGTAGGGTGTAACATTTTATTTCATGCATTTGATAGGCAAAAGGACACAGATGAGGAATTAGAGTGTTCCATCTGCTGGTTTGCTCCACAAAATTTAAAACTCAATGCAAAGGCTCAACAGAGAGTGGAGAAGACAGGTAACAGTTAAATAATTTCGAGACAGAACAACAGAAAGTACATTATCTGAAGCACAAAAAGAAAACAGACTTAAAAAATAATGAAAAGAGCCTTAGGGGCCACCTGGAGTAGAAGCAAATATATTTGTGTCACTGGAGTCTCAGAAGCAAAAAGTAGCTATGAAGTCAAAGATTTGAGTAATCCTACTACTATTAAGGAAACTGAATTTGTATAAGACACTCTACAAAATTATCTCCAGGACTAGATTCCGGACTAGTGTAGAGAATTCTTCCAAACACTTAAAGGAAGAATTAACACCAATTCTATATAATCTCTTCCAGAAACATAATCTCTTCCAGCAACTTACTTCATAAGGGCATCTAATACCACAACAAATAAAGTCAGTCTAAAAACAGAAAAGTACAGATCAATAACCCTAGTGAAAATGGACACAAAAGTCCTTAGAAAAATTTAACAGATAATTCAAAAACATACAAAAACAATTAAATGCCATTACTAAGTGGAGTTTATTCCAGGTATACTTGGCTCATTCAATCTTCAAAAAAAATTTCATTAACATAATCCACTGTACTAAAAAAAAATAAGAAAAATAATACTTATACTAACTGGTGCAGAAAATGCAGGTCAAAATTCAAGACCCAGTTATGAAGGAAAAATTCTTACGACAGCTTCGCAAGGTAAGTACACAAGAGTCAAATGTATTCCCAAATATCAGTAATGAACACATATATGCTGATATTAAAAACATGACATAATTGCTGAAGAATTCATATGATTAGGCCTAAATCTAAAAAGCATGTAGAGGACTCATGCTCAAAATTACAGTGTTAGTTAAAGATCTAAAGAAAAAAACATACTATGGTGACTCAATAAAATCAAGGTGTCATTTCCCCCAGACTGACATACAGTTGCTGCTTTTAAGATTTATGTTTTGGGCCTGGCAGTGTGGCCTAGCGGCTAAAGTCCTCATTTGAACTCGCTGGGATCCCATATGGGCGCCAGTTCTAATCCCGGCAGCTCCACTTCCCATCCAGCTCCCTGCTTGTGGCCTGGGAAAGCAGTCAAGAATGGCCCAGAACCTTGGGACCCTGCATCCACGTGGGATGCCCAGAAGAAGTTCCTGGATCCTGGCTTCGGACTGACATAGCATCGGCCATTGGGCTCACTTTGGAAGTGAATCATTGGACAGAAGATCTTCCTCTCTGTCTCTCCACCTCTCTGTATATCTGACTTTCCAATAAATAAATAAATCTTTAAAAAAAAAAAAAGAGTAGGAGACCACCACCACCACAGGCAGAATCCCTGGCTTCAATCTCATTCTGTCGACACACTAGCCCTGAAAATGGACAGCAGGCTAAAACACATATACAAAACCACAACAAATTAAGAAAAAAAATATGCAGGAAAAGAATCTTTGAACCTTAAAACTAAGCAAAGAACTCTTAGACTTAACCCCAACAGCCTGATGTATAGAAGACAATTCTGATAAGCTGGATTTCACCAAAATTTAAATATTTGTTTTGCGAAAGATCCTGTTAAGAGATTGAAATAATTTGAGCAAAATATCTACAAATCACACATCTGACAGAAAAATCTCTAGTATCTAGAATATATAAGGAATGCTCAAAACAAAACCTAAAGCCACCAATTAGAAATAGAGTAAAAGACAAGAAAAGACACTTCCCCAATGAAAACACAGATGGCGAATGAGTACATGTGAAGATCTTCCCAGAGGATTTGTCACTAAGGAAACACAAAGGAAATCTACAGTGGACTCTCACTTATACATTTTATCTGGACAGCTAAGGATTTTTAAATGTGGTAACACCCAATACTGGTGAGGATGGGAATATTCATGCCATAGAATATTACTCAGCAATAAACAGGGATGAACTATGAACACACAAAACTATTTCAAACAAAATTTCAAGTACAAAACCAAGAATGGAAAGCATTTTTCTGACAAGGGTCAGGCAGATATTATATTATCACATCATTGGCAGATTATACAAAATGATCAGTTAATCAGCTTGTTACTTATTCATTGAATTCTGAGTTCCACCTGAAGTTGCCTTGGCATGGCCAGACCTTCCCTACCCATTCTAGACAGCTCTGTTAAACGATTAAAGATTACACACTGAGTGAGTTCACTTTTGCAATATTCTTAAATAACAAAGATCAGAAATGGAGAACAAGTTAGGATTAGGAATGGGGCTCTATAGGACAGAAAGAGGCATGGCTATATAAAAGGTAACATGAGAATTCTTTATTTATATTTATTGGAAAGTCAGATCTACAGAGAGAAGGAAAGACAGAGAGAAAGATCTTCCATCCACTGATTCACTCCCCAAGTAGCTGCAACGGCCAGAGCTGAGCTGATCCAAAGCCAGGAGCCAGTAGCTTCTTCTGGGTCTCCCATGTGGATACAGAGTCCCAAGGCTTTGGCCCGTCCTTGACTGCTTTCCCAGACCACAAGCAGGGAGCTGGAAGTGGAGCAGCTGAGACACAAACTGGTGCCCATATGGGTGGCAGTTGCAAGGTGAGAATTTAGCCACTAGGTTATTGCACCAGGCCCAAGAATTCTTAAGGTGAAGAAAACGTTCTGTATCTTGTCAAATTATGACTTCACAATATTTTACTATGGTTTAAAAGACATGGCAAATGTAAGATATCTGATAATTTCTGATTTTTAAATAGCTGCATGTGAATGTCTTTTCTCAACAATCAAAGCATTGTAGAATAAAAGATGAAGCTGTTGCCTTTGATAGTAGCATCTCATATGGGTGCCAGTCCCTGTTCTGTCTGTCCCACTTCTGATCCAGCTCCCTGCTAATGGTCTGGGGAAAGCAACAGAAGACGGTCCAAGTGCTTGGGTCCCACACCCACGTGGAAGCCCATGACGAAGTTCCCGGCTCTAGCTTCGTCCTAGCCTAGCCCAGCCACTGCAGCCAACTGGGGAGTGAAGCAGCAGATGCAAGATCTCTCTCTGTAGCTCTGGCTTTCAGATAAACTAATAAGCCTTTCAGAAACAAGAGAAAGAAAACAGTAGCGAATAATTTTTCAAAACACAGTGTTATGTAGTATAAAAGTGTACACTAAATGACAGTAAGATACACATATATTCATTTATATGTAAGGTATTATTCAGAAGTGTTTCTATGTGTTTCTTCAGCGATATTCCCATTGCTTAAAACAAAATTTCAATCTCTCTTTGCAATCATTTTAGGATAATAAAAAAATTTGTAACATCATGTTCAACTATCCATGTTTTTGACATTACAAAGAATTGCTCCAAATGATTTTGGATGCATTCTAAAAATCAAACTGGTTTTCATACAAAGACATATTACTTGCCTGTTAAGAATGCTACATAGAGTCTGGTAATGAACAAAACTTGGAAGAATTATGCAAACACCTATCAAATCTCTCATGGTATAAAAATAATATAGCACTTGCAAAACCATTAACTAGGAACAATCTTAAGGTCAAACTTATAATTTTAATCAAATTACTGTGAACTAATCAATTAGTTCTCAAAGTTTCATGATTCACATATAAGGATATGAAAACTAATTTGAAATTTTCAGACCTGCACATAAAATTATATTAAATAATTGTACTGAGTTTAAGTCCACACATACCAATAAATTTACCAAATACATTAATGTTGATATTATATACCAAAGCATTCATCCTATTACTGACTTTTATTAAATGTGTTTTGTAACACAACATCTTGGGACGATTTCCTCGCATCATGAATCACATTATGAGTCAGAGGTCTGGATTACATTTCAATAACCACCAACCTTTCTACATTGACTGGCTTATCAAATTTAAACAAGATGTAGTCTCCAGCTACTGGGGTTATAGCCCAGAAGAAATCCTCTCCCATGTAAGTTTTCTCGAGTGTATGTCCTTGGTAAACCTTCATGGAAGTTGATACCTCTGCAGGTGGGTTTACGTGGATTTTGAGAAGCAATGGCTTCATGTAGTCTTTATCCTAGCAGGAAAGATACACATGCTATTTAAAAACATATACAGCTCAGTACATTTAAGAAATTGTAATCTATAAGAAAACAGATCACCAACCGTGAGTTTCTGAATTTTTCCCGATAATGAGGAATGCAGACCAACATGTTGGAAAAGGGAAGGTCTGAAACGAATTCGCAGATTTGCTTTTTGTCTATCACAATGTTTCTAAATGTTAAAAAAAGAATTGTGTTATTTTTAAGCAATTATGAGAAATCATGCTCTCACCTGAAGCAAGAAGTCCTCCAGCAGTGGAGTGAAGACTTCAAATCGTCATTCCAAACTGCACTTATTTTGATGTCACCTTTTCTGGTATATTAACAGATTTGCTGCCTATCTGATAAACAGCCATAATCCAGAAACTTAATTTCAGCCAAGGGAAGAGTATAGGTTTAATTTCAACCATTCTCCAAAACATGTTAGTAATAATGATTAAATTGCTAATATTAAGATGCAAAAAAAAAAAGACTACAAGTTTGGTTCAAATATATAAATGATTAATTAGATAATAGAACAGATTAGAATTTCCAAATAAAAGGCATATTTTGTGACATAAAAGCAATTTGAGAGGTGAGACAAAAACTTGACTAGAAGCGGAGATACTGGACAAATCCATATCCACATAATTAAGGGATCATTCTGTATTTCAACTTGGGAATGTCTTGCTGCCCCAGTATTACATGGTAACCCATCTCATGTTTGGGTATATGGTACTGGATGGCTGCCAGATAGTAAGAAATTGTAACACTGGCAAACAGGCTTGGGTGGAGTGCTGCTTGAGTCTTGGCATGTGCAACAGGCAACCTTCGCAGGTTGTTACTCTTCATGGTCAATGACTTATCTAAGTCTGGGGCCAAATACATTGAAAAGGCATTCTTAAAACATACTTATTTTTGGAGATTTCCAAAAACTACTGGCTATTCAAATACTTAATTCTTTTCAAGAGATTTGACTTTGTTAATATTGTCATTAGATAACTAACAGCAAAGAAGTAAGGCGATACAGTGTATTTTGTTTTTGCCAATATGCAAGTGGGAAGAAGATAGAAAGCAAGGAAGTGAAGGAGAAAGGTGGCTCCAGTGAGCTGAATTGTGCATCTCAGTGATTTGATCTCATCAAGCCTAACTAAAGGGAATTTTTGGGTACTTGTCCCAAATTAGGCTTACATTAAGAAGGGGATATATGAACTACATTTCAAATATTTGAAAGTATACAGCAATGTGAAGTCCTTCGCTCCACAGGCAACGGAAGCAATCAGGCTTGATCCAGCAAGGCAGGTTGATGAGCATTGGCAAGAATGTGTGATGAAGGGTTTCCCAGACCATTGTCAGAGAATGCTCGGCTGGCCAGCAAAAATGTGGTAAGGAAGGCCTGAGGGCCACAGAGAAGCATGGACTAAAGCAGAGTAAGCGAATAGGTAACAATATACAGAGGGTTGAGACTTAAACTTATGAATGATTTAGGGAGTTTTCAGCTTTCTAATTTCTGTTATTTTTTTCACAGGCTTACTTTATAACTTACACACATATTAGATAAAAACTGTGCCAGATGAGTTAAATTCAGGTTTGGTACAGAAGTGTCAAGATAATAGTAACTTATCAGGATTCAATAATGAAAATTCCAGTAAATTACAACCAAAATATCAGAGTTTAGATCTTAAAAATGATTCAATTTGAATTTATATGTTTTTCATTGAAAAATACTGTTATTTTGCAACATTCAATGGTTTCCTCTAAACATGTGGTGCTTGACTTTCTTAACAAAGACAATGTAATTATAGCTTATTGGTACTGGCAAATGGTAGGTAGGGCATCAAAATACAGAATATAAAGTCATAATGTGAAATTAAATACGTGTGGGTTACAACGAATAACTCAACCCTACAATGATACGTGCTTACAATGTTTGCAATGTTATAAAGTGTCAGAAATCTGACATTCATTTTCAAGAACATGTATGTTCATATTATTTATATTTATACCAAATAAATTAAAATTTGTATTTTTCTAGATCAAAAAAAAATCAAGCTGGACGAGGAAAACCCATAACTTACTTTTAATAATATGATACTTTCAGAAATAATTACCAGTTGAACAATCAAAGCATAAACTATCACTTATTTATAGACCTGCCACCATCACCCTAATGGTAATTACACTGGACACAACACACTAAAGGTTGTGATCTGTCACTGTGTCGTTTACATTGTACTTTTATTCCTTTACGTATTCCCTTGAACAGTATTATTCCTTACTTCCAGATGTGTGGGAGTCTGATATTATCTCCCATAGCAACTTGATAGATACTTGACATAGATACTTGAAAGATACTTGACATAGAATATTAAGAAAAAAAAACCTGAAATAAATACCCAACTAAATTCAGGACAGATCAACATCTTTAATCAGTAGTAACTAAATATCAGAGCCTGAAGGGACTATAAACAGCAGTTCAGAAAATGGCTATTGCCCTACCTGCAATAGGCTTTCTGGCTTTAAGAGACTTCCCATTGCTAGTTAAAAGTCCTAATACAGGCACTCTTTTATTAGTTGGCAAAAGTGAACAGCTGAAGTGTTAGGTGGAAACACCATTTCCTTTTATCCATCTAGTTAATTTTCAGTTGGCAAAATCCAGCCCCGTAAAAGTCCCTTTCGAAGATGAAACATACTCGTCAAAAATAAAACAACTGTTTTATCCTCACAATTAGTTAACTTACGGCATCTTTTTCAGGGTTGCAGACTTTCACCCAGAGAATATGATCCAAGAGCCAATCAATGGGTTTCTCTTTATAAAACATAAATATGAATTCTACTATCAGAGTGAGGTCTGGTGCTTGAAACATTTTACCTGAAAAGATATTCTCAGTCAATAGCTGAATAAAGAAAACAGACTTCAAAACAAATGCTATGCAAGCAGTTGCTACATTATACTGTTCAAGAGAATAACACAGGGTTGCGGGGGTGGGAGGTGGAGTCTGTACATGTTCAGAGGCAGACAACATTTTTTTCCTGAAAATTTCCAAACCCCAGTGGGTTCAGTCCAGATCCAGAAAGCGTGCATACACAAGGCCTAAAAAGCCTGTGCTTTCATCTACATATAATTTTGAGTAATTGCCCTATTTCTATTTCCCCAAAACAAAGTAGCTTCAGCTAAAATATTCTCTTGAGTTGTCATGTGGGTAAAATAGAAGTGAATTTTTGAAATGATCAAAAAACTCACCAAATACCCCTGGCTCAGAGGATTCAACATGTCAGAGACTTTTCCTTCATGCTTTACTAAAATTCTTTCCATTAAAAAGGACAACACTGGGGTGAGGAGTGGGCCACACTAGTGCAGTGGGCTGTCACCATTTGGGGACATTTGCCTCCCAAACTGAAGTCCAGGTTTGAGCCCCGCTGCTCTACTTCTGATCCAGCCTCCTGATAATGCATCCTGGGGGGGGGGGGCACCTGCCATCAGCCTCCTGATAATGCATCCTTGGCGGGGGGGCACCTGCCATCACCCAAATGGACACCCAAACGAAGTTCTGGCTTCTGGCTCTGACCTGACTCAGCCCTGACTGTTGCAGACATTTGGGGAGTTTGAAAAAGAAAATGGAAGATGTTTTGTCTGTCTGTCTGCTATTCTTTTCAGATAAATGAAAAAATACAGAGTGAAAAAAAAGGAGGAGGGAAATGAGAGGTTTAGATTTAAAAAGTTATCTAAGCTGTAAGTGTAGGAGAGATTCCTAATTTTATTTTTCAAACCTTTGTAAGTTAAAATGTTTGACTTTTAAATTAACTTTTGAGATAATGATCAAAGGCACAGTCTCTAACAGTTAAAGTATTAAAATATTATAGTAGAGAAATGCCTCGAGTATTTTTGAAAACCTATAAATTTTCTTCCATTGTAGTTATATTTTTGGTTAGTTTAGAAACTTCAGTGGGTAGAGGCAGGAGTTTCAGAATGAGCACCCAACTATCCAACAAAAGAAACAATCAATAAAGCTTAACTCTCTGAATGACAACTGCATGTACTGCATAGAAATTCCAAGAGACTATGTATAAAAAAAATCTTTCTCTGGAATTCTTAAAACAACCCCTTTTGTGACAAAACAACTGAATAAATCAGATATACTCAACAGGACCATGGGGGGGAGAGCTGTAGAGATCTAGAATAAATTATACAATTCTACAAGTCTTCAAACTCTGCCTTGGGTTGACTTTCAGTATTTCAAAAAACAAATCAAATTTCCTTAAAAAAAAATCAAAGAAAACCAAACATTGCTATGGGGAAAAAAAGACAACTTTAGAATAAACAAAGCAGTTGATTTAATATTCTGAAAATTAGGGCTAACTGTGCAGCATTGTAGGTAAAGCCATTGTCTGCCAGGCCAGCATACATAGGCACTGCTCCACTTCTAGTCCAGTTTCCCACTAATGTGCCCAGGAAAGCAGCAGAGCATGGCTCAAGTACTTGGGACTCCTGAACCCAGGAGAGAAACTCAAAAGAAGCTCCGGGTTGTGGCTTCAGGCTGGTTCAGCCCTAGCCACTGCAGCCATTTGGGGAGTAAACCAAGTGAATGAAAGACAGCCCTCTGCAACTCTTCCTTTCAAATAAATAAATCTTAAAAATATATATTTTGAGTCATAGCTATTTTTTGGAAAAGTGATAAATATGGCAATTTTCTTACCAATGAAGCCCAACTGGGAAAACTCTAGAATCATCCAGTCCTCGGAGGAAAGTTGGAGTGCAAAATTTTTTATGGTGTTAAAGTAATTCTGTTTGACAATAATATCATCTTCAAGCTAGAGAAAATTAAAGTTACATTATTTTATCAAAATACATACATAAGACATTCTTGGCATGCAAAAATTTAAGCACACTTCTATCATGAAAAATCAATTAAAATATAAACATTTGGAAGCTGGCTTTCAGGCTAGAGGTTAAGACATACATGTCCCCTATCAGAGCTGCACTGATTCTTAGCTCCAGCTCCTGACTCGCGTCCTGCCAAGGCAGGCCCTGGGAAGCACTGGGCTCCTGCTCCCTGTGTGGAACACCTGCCTCCTGGCTCTTGTGGCCCAAGCCTGGCCATTGCCAGCAGATGGTAAGTGAACCAATGAATGAGAAAACTAACTCTCTCTTTGTCTCTCAAATTTTAAAAAATAATTTTAAAACAAAGAAAACAAAACATATGTAAATTAAGATAAAATAAATAAAAGCAGAAGATGCACACCACAGGTCACTAAACCACTCTGTGCCTATAAGAAATGAGGCCACTCTAAAGCATACGTTTATAGATCTGTCTTTTCTTTTTCTTATAGGAAAAAAATGTCTGAAAGTATTCAAGATTTTCTGCTTTTCACAAAATATATGCAGCCAATTGAAGTTACAGAAAAGCCATGAGCTTTTCTTCTCTGTCCTGTGCTCTGCTAGTCGAGGTTACCAAGATGCAAAGCTATAATGGATATGCAACACTTGCAGATCTATATAGATAGTTCCCATATTCCTTTTCCATTTTAATAAAAAAAGGTTATGTCATTGATATTTTTCTCTTATGGTATCACTACTATTTTTACAGATTAGTAAATATGTGTTTAAATTATGGAATTCAATAGCTGCACTGTATTCCATAAAACAGACATACTATAATTTATTCAGCTCCTCCCTTGCCATAGGCGAACATTACCTGATTTTTACCAAGCAGTATTGCAATGAAGAAACTTGCATCTACATAACAGTGCACTTCATCTCAGTAGGACAGATTTTCTTTCTGTATTATTATAGATATCCACACCATATCTCAAAAGAAAAGGTAACTGAAAGCCAGTCCTGTGGCACTCCCAGCAGTCTGTGGGTGGAGCTCTTATCAACTTAGCTGGGAGTGACAGAGATTAGCAATCCTGGCAACAAAGGTTTTCCCTTTGTCCACTAATTTTTAAAGTCAGAAGAGTACTTTAATATGTTATAAAATTTTTCCCTTTTCTAAATTTCACATCATTCTTTTTTACTACCCCATTTTGGATTTGACTTTTCATGTATATATGTGCAATGAGCTTTCTTATTCCTATTTGTAAAGAAATGGTAGTATTATTTGAAAAGATACAAACTGATCTACTTGCCAACTATTTGCTTTGAAAAGAAGCCGAAGGGACAACCAGACAAACCACAGACCTATGCTTGCATTTAAACTTGCTTTTTATAGGTTAGATGGAGGCAAATGTTTGGCATAGAGGCTAAGATGTTGCTTGGGGTCTTTGCATATCATTAGAGTCCTTGGTCCCAATCCTAGCTCCACTTTTTGTCCAGCTTCCTTATAACAGGGGGAGCACTATAAGACCTTGGAATGGTTCTTGGGTAAGATACCAAAAACACAGTAATAAAAGAAAAAAACAGGTCACAGGATGGGGCGTCTCATGCCTGGATCCCAGATGACAGCCACCATCTGCACATGGTGAGCTGTCCCCGGGCCTGCCTGGGCTCCGGGGGCTGCTCCCTTCGGGGTGAGTACACCGAAGGGGTAGGTCTCTGTGACTGGGCAGGTCTGGGACCCACCCGCCACCCTCACTGGGCGGTGAATGGTATTGGGGAGGGGCACGACCTTGGACCTGGGAGTTTAAATTTCCAGCAGCCTCCCAGCTGCTGGTGGGTTTCAGGACGGGGCGTCTCATGCCTGGATCCCAGACGACAGCCACCATGTGTAGATGGTGAGCTGTCCCCGGGCGGCCAGTGCGCCATGTGGTTCCAGGCTCTGCCTGCTGGCCGCCCGGCAGGGAACTCTGGGGTTTTGGTTCTTTGAGTTGCTACATAGTTAGCTCCAGGTTGAACCCATCATGCTTCTAGGACATGAAGCATTTGTAAAGATTCCCATTGGCAGTAACTCTTCCTTTGTAAAACTTGTAATCAATGAACAATGCTGACCACCAAATACCAGTCCATGCAAAAGCTATGGCTTGGGGCTTGTCCTGCAGAATTATATCATGTTACATGACATGATGATGGATCAGGAGAAGGGTCGCATTAAGCAAGCCATTACATTAACTAGCACTCAAGAACCATAACCCAGGGAAAATTCTGTGAGGGATATGTGGACCACATCCTGTGAAAATTCTAGCCCCACTGGTTATCTCAAGAGTTGGGGCGGTGATGGACTAAGCTAGGTGTGACCAAGGAGCCTGCCATCAATCACAGGCAAAGGAACCCCCAATAGTCTGGACTGGTCAAGGCAGCAGCACCCGAATGTGCATCCTGATTAGGGTGTGGGATGGGCCAGGCTGTAACGTTCACCAGCTCATACAAGGCCAATTAGAAGGCCAGACTGTGCCGGGCACTGGCCTAAACCCAGTGGCATGTATGAGAACTGGGTCTGGGAGTGGATTAAGTGGAGGAACTTGGGAAACTCCCCTGGCGAGTCATAACTCCCGCTGGTGAACATGTGGTCCAGAACTGGGGGTCGGACAAGCTGGGAAAAGTAGCTCCAACAGCTGGCTAATGTGTCAACTGGTAATGGAACAGGGTAGATCAGGCAGGACTGAGCAAACCTTAGCCAACAAGCAAAACTAGAGACCAGGACGGAGCACAGGTCATGCCGAGCTAGGCTCTTGCACCTACTGGTCTGCGTGAGCCAGGAACGCTAAGCCACAGTGTCTATGGCAGAGGTCAGGACAGGTGAGGGGCTGTGCCAAGCTGAGTCAGAGCAACCACTAGCATGCATGTGATCTATGGCTGGGAACAGGCCCGGCTGGGGAGCTAAGGGGACAACCCTAGCTGGGTTGAGGTTCCCACCAAGGGGTGTGTGACCTGGAATGTGGGCTGCGTTCTGATCGGGAAATGGTTGTAGTCTCCCTTGGCACAAGTGTGGACTGGGATTGGATGCACCGAGCCGGGCCAGACCCCAACACCCTCTGGTGTCCTGGAGGACTGGGATAGATGTGGGATGGACTAGGTCTCAAACCCCTACTGAGCCATGTGTGAGCCATATGTGGGTATGGACAAACCATGGCTGGGCTGAAACATCCAACAGCAAGGACCAGTTTGGGTTGAAGGCAAGTCAAGAAAAGCCATTGTTTCTGCTATGACAGGAGGTGGACTGAGTTGGGCTGGCTCATGGACCCACTGGTAAGCGTGAAACCTGGCATTGGGAGAGGTTCTGATGGAGGAGCCTGGGCAACTCCTCTGGCAGGACACAGACCCGGCAGGTAAGCATAAGAAACATGATAGGAAACAGCCCAGAACAGGCCACGGAAAGTTACCCACTGGCATACAATTGGCAGGGGTTGGGGGAAGACCAGGCTGAATCTGTCCACATCATCCACTGCAAATCCAAGCACCAGAACAGTGTGGGTCGAGCCAGGTTCGTTCGCAACAAAGACTAGTGCACAACACGGAATGCCAAGGTGAGGTTGCCTGTACCAGAAGGAACCGCAGCGCCCAACCAGCAAGCGTGAGAACCAGGAATGGAGGGGGCAGAGCTGGCAGGAGAATAAGGGAGGGTTCCTTTGCTGGACAGCTACTCCTGCTGGAGAGCGTGGGCTGGGATGGGGACAGACCAGACTAGGCAGGGCTACAACACCTGTGCGCCTCATGTGGACTAGATCAGGGAAAAGCCAGGTTGGGCTGATTATTCCTGATGGAAGGTCTTCTGTCTCTCCTTCTCTCTGTAAATCAGATGTGCTTTTCCAATAAAAATAAATAAATCCTTACTGGTGCAAACAAAATTAGAGTGGGTGAGGGTTGTTTGGGCTTAGTCACAGCATCAGCTGGAAGAAGCTGGCACTGGGGGCTAGTTCTGTCAAGTCAAACCACAGAACTATCTGCAGAGTGCATAATCTGGGAGTGGGAGAGGCCTGGGAGGGAAATAATGGGCTCCTCCCTCTTGGGTTACCACTTCCACGGGAGGGCATAAAACTAGGACAGCGGCTGGGGTGGAATGGGGTGTGGGACAGACTGGACTACTGCTACACATACTGGCAAACCAGGGTAGGGGGCGGGCCTGGTGGGGTTATTGTGGGTCGCTCTCACGAGGTTGCAGCTCCCACTTGTTTATGCGAGGGCCGAGTATGTGCTGGGCAGAACCAGGCTGGACTGCAACACCCATTGGTTCCAGGGGAAGTCGGGAGTGAAAACAGAACCAACCCAGCGATTGCAACCACCAGCTGATTGGGGCAATGGACTATGCCTGGCCCTGTACTTGGTAGCACATACAAGAATCTGGTTTGAGAACACCTCAGACAAAGTTTCTTTGGAGATCTCCCCAACAGAAATGCTGGTCTCAGAACCCTAACCAAGAAAAGAGAGAAGATAGAACAGGTCAACCAACCAACTCAGCTATATGTTGGCATCGACATACAAGGCAAATGGAGACTCTATGATAGACTATGTCAATCAGTGGATTCTTCAAAGACCTCATTGTGCTTGGAGTGACAAGATTGGCAACGATTCATAACTGCTGAAATATTAAAGCCACTTGAGCAAGAACCTCAGAGCATACCCTACATCCGGGACCTGGGGAGGGTGGGAAATTGGGTGGGCCTTCTCCCTTAATAACCCCCTTTAAACATGAAGGAAATAGTATGGAAAAAATAATAGTCTTACCCACTTTCCTATAGCCCTTGAACCTTTTTTACCCTAATTAACTATGTAAAGATTGTCAAAATTAAAAAAAAAGTAAAAAAAGAAAAAACAAATAGGATTATATCAAGCTAAGAAGTTTCTGCACAACAGTGGAAACAATTTACAAAGAATTAACAAATAGAGCCAGAGAAAAAATTCGCAAAGTATGTGTTTGATATATCCAGAATATATA